TATTGATTCTAAGAAGCTGTCAATGACTCCAAGTACTGCTAGACATTGAAAAATGTTAACTAAATAAACTTTCGAGCCAGTAAGAAATAAAATATTATCCATGAGGTGTGGGTGTGGATGTGGGGTGTGGGAGTGGGTGTGAGCGTGGCGTGGGTGTGGGTGTGTGTGGGTGTGAGTGGTGGGTGTGGTTGAGGATTCAGGTCTTCTCTTTACTCACACCCACACCCACACTCACACCCACACCCACCCACACCCACCCACACCTACCCACACCCACACCCACACCTATACCCACACCCACATCCACACCCAAACCCCACACCCACACCCAAACCCCACACCCACACCCTCCAAATTCCATGCAATATCAGGGAGATCACATGTACATACAAATTTCTAGTGATTTATTTCAATAAGTTTTCATTAAAACCGATGTTTAGGAAAACTAGTTTCAGTTTTTTCCAAAAGTCGAACACATTCATTGTAAAGAGAAACGTTTAAAGCTATAAAAACTGTCACATGTGAAAAATTTCATCGATATCTTATCGACCACTCTTGGTCATTATCATCACAGAGACAAAACATATGACGATCACGAGAAGAATTAACACTATCAAAACCATAAGCACCTTCAGCAATAGTAGCAACAACAGGAGCAATAAATAAGCGAGTACCAATAGAAGCAACAACAGGACCAGTGAATAAGCGAGCACCAATAGTAAACGGGGCAGCAATAACACCAGCAGTGACATGAGAAGCAGATGTACGAAAAGGACGAGTCGAACTATCAACAGAAGAAGGATCAGGAGGCGTATGATGAGTACAAATAGGAATAGCACAGGTTGCACCTTTCCGTTTGCGGAAATATTTTTGTTTGCCCTGAGCCCAATACGTTTCATCTTTAAATCTATTTCGTCGCACTATTTCGAAAGTCTTGGGGTCACCATTGTAGTACCAATCACGACAATGTCCACATTCAGAACAATGTCGACCGTTGCAACTAAGTTGTGGGTAAGTGCCCGATGGAGCAAATTCTAATTGCTTTTCTAAACAAAATCAAAAAGGCATAATTATTGGAAAACGATTATAAAAAGAATCACCACCGAATTTTCATCCTCATATGTATCACACTAATGACAACGCTAAAAGTAATTTGACTGAGAATTCATTCGAAAATGAGTCGATCTTTACTACAAACGATTTTTTTAATTTATTATTGCACAATCAACTTACATCTACTTTTTAACATGCACTCCAAAAAAAGTAGTTGTCGTCTGTGTTCATTAGATTCTATGTTGAGAACTATGCTGAACACACATCTCCTCCTTATACATAGATTACCAGTCAATTTAACCTATAAGAAGACCAAGTTTTTAAATTTCCTGTTAAGGCTTCCTTAGGTGAATCGCAAAGTACAGCTCGGAGTCAGCGTTTCTAAGAGCCGCAATTCTCGACCGTCCAGTTTCTTATATGCAGCGAGTATAGACTGACATGTTGCTTCGTATTCTTGCTCAACAAATCCTTTAGAGACATCAAAGAAACCAATGAAAGCTGTTCGGAACAGCAGCTAGCCGCTGTTATGTTTCCATGTTCTTCCTTAGCATATTCTCCTCTTTTAATAACAAGAACAGATAGGTGGCAAACGAGCACTACAAGAGATAGCAATTCGTTCTCCTACAAGAATTCGGGAACGTGATAAAAATGCCTTGCTTCCCGCGTTTTCCATATCTCCTAAATATACGAACATGAAATTATCAGAAACTCAGCGATTAGGCATGCTCCAAAGACAGTTAACTGGACATCAGGGGCACTGGATACTTTGAGTCGCTGAGTACGTGGTGCCACGCGGAAATTCAGTGGCATTAGTTTTCCAGTCGAACTGGAGGCCAGTACCACTGGGTACTTGAGAAACTGACACTGGTGCATACCTATTGTCAGCGATCGACAGCGCATTGCTACCAATAGATGCAGCTATTCCTTCCTTAAAAAAGTTATAATTTGTGCGAGCAGACAAGAACACTGGTTCACGTTTAGCTAATTCCAAAAGTACAGTCATATCAGAAGAAATCCCAATAGAAAAGACTGGATATTATTATCAACTATACTGCACAGCTTTATTTTCACGATCTTTCTATAACAATTGTGTTAGACACAAATACTTCATTCATAAATCTTATCAGAATTTACCCGAAGACATAGTAGATTTCATACAGATCTCTTCGGAACCATCTCTGCAATTAATCAGAAGAATCATCATCTAGTCGTTCGTTGACGTCCCTCCAGTGCAAAACTCACGAATAGTCGCTCCTATATTCAAGTGTACTTCAACAATAGATCATCCTACGGTATTCGCAATCAAGCTCACTACCGTTTGGTCTATTACAAAAATATGATCAGTTTTGCAATAGAAGTACACTCTGTTACAGAGTTAAAATATTGCAGCTAATGTGCCAATCTCTATAAACGGAACGCGTCGTGTCGACGTTCATGAAACGCTGTTATGAAATTGTGGTTATTTTTCACAAATAACGTTTATTCAGAGGCACATGCTACACCAAATCCTAAGGGACAAATATAATTGGTTATCATCCCGGTATCAAAAAACCTGCTTGGCTGAAATTCTAGGTAGTAAGAACCTCATTGGCTGGAGATAGACCATGAAACAATCTGATTGGCCAAAACCTCAGGGTCAAAAATAATATGATCAGCCTATCGCACAGCTTGAAAAATTTGCAGTTGATTTTGAAGACAATGACTTTTGGCCTCGAGGGTGTGGGTGTGGATGTGGAGGTGGGGGTGTGGGTGTGTACGTGTGGGTGTACGGATCACTTTAATCACCCCCACCCCACACACACACCCGCATAAAAATTCCACGATGGGCACGGTATTTACCATTGGGTGCATCCTTGGGAGTCATTGTGAAAATGGTAGTACCCTCGTTTCCGTCACGGCTCAATTGCACTTCTATCCAGTGATTGGAAAGAATGAATAATTGCTTTCTTCAGAATTATCAAAAAACTTATCAGTACATTATAAAATTGTCTCTCAATACTGCCAAAAGGTGAGATCTCACCTACCAGCGGAGACGGCATTTTTTTTGCATGTTGAGACACATGAAGTTGCCCTAAATTCCATAGACACAGACCACTTCCTGCCCTACTTGCATTACCAGGGAGTATATGCAAAATACCAAAGACGGTTAGTCTTTCTTATCCATTCCTTCTCTTCCCTCTTTAAATCGAGAACTATTCACTTGAGCAGGAAGAACATTGCTACTTGACTACATAAGCCGTTGCTCAATGATGTGTGGCATATTGAGTAAACAGAAAATTAAGTTTTCAATTGTGACCTAAAATAAGATTGACTTTATTTGCGATGTTTTTGGTTCAAACTATCGTGATATCTTTAGAAAGATGAAAAAAATAAAAGCACGCATGACACTGTTGTTTTTTCGTTCTTATCAAGGAGAAAAATGGTTGTTTTTAAATCGCCGAAGAGCAGCGGTACAACGCACTACGACACTGAATACCTTTATTATTTTTTTCTTTACAACACAATTTTCTTTTACGACTATCGAAATTCGTTACTAAACGTCGACAAACAAAACCATCTTTGTCGTCGTAAAAAAGCCAAGTAAAACGATCCTTGTCAGATTAATAGAAAAAAAATTCTGACTAAATTTCAAACAACTTCTCTCCATTCTTGGTTTGTTATAAAGTGGCAAATGAATTCAAAATGAATGGACAAAAACCGAATGAAATACTTTCTACATCCATAACGGATACCATAACAAATACGACGACATTATCGAGTGTTATGAAGCCAACACAATGCATGACTGAAGGCTATGTAATTATCTGGATCGACGAGAACATTCACCCAAACAATGAAAAATGTAAAAATACACTAACACAGCTACAACAGGTGACCGATCAAGTATATATTTTCACCACATCCGATGAAGGTATAGATTTTCTCACTGACATCAATGATCAAAACGCATTTCTCATTTTATCAAATCCTAAAGATCAAGACATGATACCTATCGTAGATGATATTCATCATCTTCTGAGTGTTTATATCTTCTGCAGCACAGAATCCCTAATCCATGATTGGAAAAAGAATTCCAGCAAAATTAAAGGTATGCACACAGATATCTACCGTCTCTGTGAAGCACTACTAGATGCCATCAAACGATGTTACAAAAACGATATCGCTATGAGCTTTGTCAGTATCGACGAAGATAGTTTGAAAATTAATCTAGATCAAATAGAACCCTCATTTATGTACACACAATTGTTTAAAGAAATTACACTTGAAGTCAATCACACACAAGAAGAAATCACAGATTTTATTCAATTTTGGCGGGAAAAATCTAACAACAATAAGACAACGTTGGATACTATCAACGAGTTCGAGAAGAATTACAGTTCACAGAGGTCAATTTCGTGGTATATTCGTCAGCCTTTCATCTACAAGACGGTTAATCGGTCACTTCGAACATTGGATACTCTAACAATGAAGAAAATGAGCTTTCTTATTCGAGATCTTTACTGCCAACTCGAACAATTACACCGAGAACAGTCTACAAAAACAAACAATAAACCTTTTACCGTATACCGAGGACAAGGATTATCCAAAGCTGATTTTCAGAAACTTAAAAGAACCAAGGGTGGTCTCCTCTCATTTAACAACTTTTTATCCACCAGCCGAGATCAAGACGTTGCCCTAGTATTCGCCGAAAGTAACACATCAGACGCTAACTTAGTCGGTATACTTTTCATAATGAGTATCACACCTTCAATTTCAAGAACTCCCTTTGCCAACATCCAAACAATGGGTTCGTTTCAGGACGAAGAAGAAATCCTCTTTTCTATGCACACGATTTTTCGTGTCAACGAAATCAAACAGGTCCTCAACAATTCCAACATCTACGAAGTACAACTCATTCTCACCAAGGACGATGATCCACAACTATCTCTTCTCACACATTCTATACGGCAGGAAAACGGCGAAACCGGCTGGAATCGCATGGTTCACTTGATGCTCACGCTTCACCACTTCCAAACAGCCCAGGAAATTTGTGATCACCTACTAGCTACATCTTCCACGAACCTAGAGCGCGCGAATGTCCTGAATAGCCAAGGAGCAATCGAAAACCAACGAGGCGACTACCCAAAAGCACTTTCATCGTACGAAAGATCACTTGAAATCCGAAAAATAGCTCTCCCTCCGAATCAACCCGACTTTGCTCAATCCTACAACAACATCGCTATGGTGTATGATAACATGGGCGAGTACTCGAAAGCACTTTCATCGTACGAAAGATCACTTGAAATCCGAAAAATAGCTCTCCCTCCGAATCATCCCAGCTTGGCTACTTCCTATAACAACATCGCTTCAGTGTATTCTCACATGGGCGAGTACGCGAAAGCACTTTCATCGTACGAAAGATCACTTGAAATCCGAAAAATAGCCCTCCCTTCGAATCATCCCGACTTGGCTACTTCCTACAACAACATTGCTTCAGTGTATGATAGCATGGGCGAGTACTCGAAAGCACTTTCATTCTACGAAAGATCACTTGAAATCCGACAAATGACCCTCCTTCCGAATCATCCCGATTTGGCTAGTTCCTATAACAACATCGCTATGGTGTATGATAACATGGGCGAGTACTCGAAAGCACTTTCATCGTACGAAAGATCACTTGAAATTCGAAAAATGGCTCTCCCTCCGTATCATCCCGACTTGGCTAGTTCCTACAACAACATCGCTATGGTGTATTCTCACATGGGCGAATATTCGAAAGCACTTTCATCGTACGAAAGATCACTTGAAATCCAAAAAATAGCTCTCCCTCCGAATCATCCTCACTTGGCTGGTTCTTATAACAACATCGGTATGGTGTATGATAACATGGGCGAGTACTCGAGAGCACTTTCATACTACGAAAGATCATTTGAAATCGCCGAAAAAGCTCTGCCTCCGAATCATCCCGCTTTGGCTACTTCCTATAACAACATCGGTGGAGTGTATAATAACATGGGTGACTACTCGAAAGCACTTTCATCGTACGAAAGATCGCTTAAAATTCAAAAAATAGCTCTTCCTCCGAATCATCCTGACTTGGCGGCCTCCTACAACAACATCGGTAACATGTATAAAAATATCAGCGAATGCTCGAAGGCACTATCATCACACGAACGAGCACTTGAAATTCAAAAAATAGCTCTCCCTCCGAATCATCCCGACTTGGCTTATTCCTACAACAACATCGGTAATGTCTATTACCACATGGCCGAATACTCGAAAGCACTTACATTTCATCAAAGATCACTTGCAATCAGAATAATTGCTCTGCCCCCAAATCACTCCGACATCGCTCACTCTTACAACAACATCGGTACGGTGTACTCTACCGTGCGCGTGTACTCGGAAGCACTTTCATCGTACGAACGAGCACTTGAAATCCAAAAAATAGCTCTTCCTCCAGATCATCCCGGCTTGGCTACTCTCTACAACAATATCGGTAATGTGTATCAAAATATAGGCGACTATTCAAAAGCACTTTCAACGTACGAACGAACACTAGAAATCCAGAAAAAAGTTCTTCCTCCGACTCATCCTGATATAGCTACTTCCTACCTGAATATGGGTTTGGTGCATTCTAACATGGGTGAATATTCGAAAGCGCTTTCATTATACGACCGAGCACTTGAAATTCGGAAAATAGCTCTTACTCCGAATCATTTGGACTTAGCTTCTTCCTACGACAGCATTGGTTCGACGTATTCTGCCATGGGCGAGTATCCGAAAGCGCTGTCATCGTACCAACGAGCACTTGAAATTCAGAAAAAAGCTCTCCATCCTGATCATCCCGACTTGGCTTCTTCTTATGCCAATATCGGTTTGGTATATTCTCACATGGACGAGTACTCAATAGCAGTTGCATTTTATCAACGATCACTTGAAATCAGAAAAAAGGCTCTCTCTACAAATCAGTCGGACTTAGCTTCTTCCTACGACGGCATTGGTTCAATGTATTCTGCCATGCGCAAGTACCCGGAAGCACTTTCATCGTACGAACAATCACTTGAAATCAGAAAAATGACGCTCGCTTCGAACCATCCCAGCATAGCTCATTCCTACAGCAACATCGGTTCGGTATATGATCATATGGGCGAGCACATGAAAGCGCTGTCATCGTACCAACGAGCACTTGAAATTCAAAAAACAGCTCTCCATCCTAATCAACCCGACTTGGCTTCTTCCTATGCTAACATCGGTTTGGTGTATTCTCACATGGGCGAGTACTCAATAGCAGTTTCATTTTACGAACGATCACTAGAAATCCGGAGAATAGCTCTCTCTCCGACTCATCCCTCATTGGCTGCTTTGTACGACAACATCGGTTCGGTGTATTCTAACATGGGCGAGTACTCCAAAGCACTTTTATTTCTGCAAAAAGCGCTTGAGATACGACAAAAATCACTGCCTCCAAATCATCCACATATTACAAAGTTGAAAACTAAAATTGAAGATGTAGAAAAGAAAATGTAATTGTTTGTTTTTTAAATGAGCAAATAAATTAGCCTCCTTAAACACTTGGGTCACCGAAGCGTAGCAGCTGCAAAATTTCCCGCACATGCTACCAGAGATACCCTCCGTATTTTGTTGCGTTGTATAGTGGACAAACCCGGCAATGATAGACAAACATACATCTATGTACACATGACTAGTACGTCCATGATCGTCATGATCTCAACAAAGAGACGACGAAGAGAACAGATGATTCAGTCATACATACATAAATATATGTTAGATGGTCTCTATCTGAACGCCTGTGCATGTACCAACAAAACGTCGGACACTACTGGCACGGGTAAGTTGTTTAAGCCATCCACGAGCTTGTTATGTGTTGGAAATTCTTCTTCTTCTATTACGAAAAACAAGAAGGTTGAAGCAAATGTAAATAGTAGTACACGTTCATTAATACAACGCTACGGAATGTAACGCAGCGTACTTTAAACGGATGGTTGTCGCTAGTCAAAAAAATCGAGCATACGATATCTTATCTGTGTTTACACATATTAATGTCGTTTCATTCTGTTGTTGAATTGCAATGTGTGAGGACAGTTCATATGGCGTGCCCTTCCTAGTAGATAATACGAAGGAAAGACAAAACAAATTAAAATGTAAGGGATAAAAATTTTGTCCATAATTCATTAATATTTTTAATATGTTATAAAATATATACGTACAACAAAGAAAAATTTAAATTCCCTTAATAAATTTTTTATTATAAATAGAAGAAAATGAAGGGATAACGTACCTCTTTAATTTGAAAACACGAAATTGCTGATGATTTTTTGTTTTTTGAAAGACTCATTGCAAAATAGATTGATTGAAATTTCAAAGAAGGGATAATATAATATACCCGAATAATGATGGAATCATTCATTCGAGATGATGAATATTCGATATATTGAATAGATCTGTTTTAGTATATGAGTTCGTATAGAATTATTGTAAATAATAAATCAATAATATTAATTCCATTGACTGTAGATGAAATAATGCTCATACTTTGTTCTGCACGTAAATCAGGGTTGCCAAATCTTTCGATATGGCACGAAAAAGTTCGATTTTTAAAATTTGAACTTTTACCCGATCACTTTTAAATTTTCGGATCTTGTTTTTGGCTTATTGGAGTTTTTTCTAAACTGAAGTTTTTTCAAAAAAGAATAAGTTCAAGACTAAATTATTTATGTAATTACAGTGGTTCTTCCAGTGGTGCAGAATCTGCCGTTAAAATAAAAAAACTTCAGAAACGACAAAATTTTTGCGAAAACTTCCCGCGCTATAAGACTCTATTAAATAATGGACTTTCTTGTTTAAGGTGTTTATTAAAAAAATTACCGCTATTTAACACATTAAAAATGCACATCGAAAAAGAAAAAAAGAATGCTATTATTCAATATCATTTGGTGCAGGTAATCTTGCTACTTGTTCTTTTTTGTAAACGATTTAGATTAACTGAACTAAGATAAACAAGGATGTGAGTGTCGATAGAGGAAAGATCCATCCACAACCACAATCATAGCTACACTCACACACAATAGCAACTATGGGTGGCTGTGGGCGTGAGTGTGGATGTGGTTTAAGAGAAGATAAATCCACTTCCGCATCTGCATCCCATACCCACATCCACACTCATATCCATACCCACACTCACACTCATGCTCACACCCGCGCCCATCTATCAATGTTTTAATCTGACATTTTGACTTCACAACAGCGGATCCTTGAATTTTGCGAGACTCATATATATTTTCGAAGAAACTAGCGAGCGTAAGTTTTAAATCGAAGGTTTGACAGCTTCTCCCACCTCTCATTAGAGATCATAGCAATGAAGGCACCATTATAGATACTTTCATTACAGACTATGGCAACCAGTGTTAGGTGGGATTAGATATCCTAGCTTATATAGAATATCTGAGTTCCACATATCAGCCCTAAAGGAGCTGCGCTAAAAGCTTTCTTGCTTGAGATTGAATTCGAATCACCTTCTGTTTGTTAGAACCCAATCTGAAATAAAACAGACTGTAGTATGCGTGACTTACGCGTCAAAACTGTTTCTTTTTAGTGTATGTTCTTCATAGACGATATAGAGTCAGCAGCAATAGGCTACTGTTTTGAGAACGATGAATAGATCATTAGTTTTTTTCTATTTCCCACTGTTTATATTAAACTTCAACAAAGTATTTTTAAAGAAGAAAAACACTCTTTCGACACTTGAATACGTTTTTTATTGATTGATTCAAACTCACTTGAAAAATAAGTAACGATTTTGCATCCCGAGCAATACTCTATTCCCTAGCAATTTCAATAAACATCACACTAAAGACAGTCTCATTCGGATTTGAGTGAGAGATTCGTAGTGAGTTTTGGTGTGAGTGTAGTTGTGGCTGTTGATCGTGTCGTAATCCTGAGCCATACATTCACACCTCACATCGCCACGTACACAGCGACACCAACAACAAATAGGCTGCAGTCTTGAGTACAGGAAATAAATTTACATTTTTTCTCTTTTCCACTGTTTGCCTTAGACATTTACGAACTGTTTTTAAAGACGAAAAATACTCTTTTAACACTTGAATGTTATTTTATTGATCCATCAAGACTCAATTGACAAATAAGTAAAGATTTTGCGTCTCGAGCAGGATTCCTGCAAATAATGTCGAAAATAAAAATGTAGAAATATAAATATCGAAACATATTAATGCCGAAATAATAAAATGGCGAAATGCAAAAAATATCGAATGATAAAAGCATTAAAGGTAAAGTTATGAATGTGGGTTGAGGTTGGGTGAAGAGTAACACCCATATCCATACCTACACTGATACCCACATCCTGAACCTTTAAATAGTTAATTTCGGGAAAAAGCAGTTATCATGCAAGCCACGAATGAAAAGATTCTTTTGGGTGTGGGCGACATCTTCAATGGCACCCACACTCCACATGCGATACGATTCACATCACTAAAGGGTGTGGGTGTAGCTGTGGGTGTGGGTGTTATCTGTTATCACACCCACACCCACACCTACACCCCAAATTCCGGAATTCCTCGCCGCAATTACATCTCGCCCTCGCCCACACGCATTCTGATATGGTTAAAGTTTATTCGACTCGATCACTACCTGATCGCGGTACGGAATTCCGGGAATTGAGTCGAGACGTGATTGCGCGGAATTCGTGAGAATTGCTACTGATTCTGAAATTCGATGGAACTCGATAACGTAGAATAGGCTTTTTATATTGTAAGACGGTCGGATTCCGGGAATTGGACGAAACTGATTCCGGGGGCGGAACTGGTTCCACAATGTTCAACATTGCGGAATATGATGACTGCTCTATCTCTGTATTTAGATCTTCGATTTGCCCACGCCGGCATCCTTGTGCACTTGAAAACAATAAGTGTTCTGCTGGATACGACTCGCAAGCAACTGGCCGGGAAGTTAGTGTCCGAAAAGCAACTGTTGCTGCGGAGCAAGTACCGGAGGAGGATTTGTGTGGGGAACACGTTTCATGGAATTCCATTATTGTCATACATACGACTTTTTGTCTCCACAGTTATCATCTGGTAAATGTATTACAGATAGTCAGGCAGACTCGGGCGAATTTCAGTTTGTAGGCCCTATCCTTTGAGTCTAAGGAATTAATCCAGTGGGAAGTCGTCTGCTTGCTAGAATTGAATGTCAGCCTATGTCGAACTGCTGCTCAACAGAATATTACAGTTACGTTCATGAGGGATAGAATGCACAACTCACTGTGTTAATAGTACATTGAAGCAGATGATAAATTTGAACGAAAACTTTAAGATGTTCGTTCTTTAGTGTGTATTGAAAGCAAAAAAAAATGAATTGTTTCGAAAAACGAAACAATCTTTTCTGTTATAGAAAAACAACAGCATTCATTTGGAGAAAATGAAACGAGCCCAAGGATCAAAACAGCAACATGAAAGTAAATGTGAACAGAGAATGAATAATGCCGTTGACATATGCGCTGCATTTTGGGTGTGACTAAGGAGAAGGTCTACACCCACACCAATACCCACATTCACATCCCACACCTACACCCACACCCACACCCTCAGTACTGAACAATCACAATAACATGATTTAGTCTTTTACACAAAAATTAAATAGACTAAAAATTTTTAATTCTATTTCTTCAAGACAAAAGTCCAATGTATTTTTGTTTAATTATTAATTCACAAGTGTAGAAAAGAAAATCAAAATAGGCTTTTAAAACCTTCACAAATTCAAACAAGATTATTGTTTAAATAAAGACAATAAATAAATTTTAAAAAAGTATCGGAATAATTATAAATTTAATTCAAATTAAATTCGTTAGTGGTTGATACCAGAGAATACATTGAATGATTGTTTAGTCTTTTATGAGATTTATTATTAGTTTTTCTTATTTGATATTGCTTGTGGAATACATTAACAAGTATAAGAAGAATAAAACTAAATATAATACCCAATATGAAGAATACTGGTGCAAAATCTCTGCTGATAGATCTGTTTGCTTTTTTATCATCTGATTCATTGTTCGATAATGAAACACCTGAATCATCATCTATTGATTCGTCGATATAACTACTAGAAATAAAAAACAAAATATTTCATAAAGATTGAAAAACTCAATATAATATTTTCAAGATAGTATAACTAGAATAATATATATATTTTTTCCTTTCGTATAGTCTTTGTTAAACTATGAAAATCAATTCTGATCAAAGTTCATAATAATAATCACTGTATTATTGAAATTCATATTGAATTATTTTTAAAAAAACTTGATTTTTATTCTTTGTGCAATTCCTTTCATTCCCTATAGATTGTGTAGACGATTGCAATTCGTTGACCTCTAAGGATTTCTAAAAAATTCTTAATTATCATTTCTCAGATCGAGAACTACATTGAAATTTTAATCAATCAAAGTTCAGAGAAATTGATTATGAATATTGATTTTTCATGTTCATTATTTAAACATATTGAATTTAATAAGATTAACTAACCGTTTAGTTAGAATAGTTTCCGTTTTTCTAATTGGTAATTTTTGACATATAACAGTTGCTAGTTGCTTGCAAGTTACTTCATTACATGAAATCGATGGATTTGTTTCTGATTGAAAATCAAGATATCCACAACCAATTTGTTGAGATTTCAATGCTTTTTTATTTTCGGTAGATAGTTTTGATAATGACGATAATTTTTTATAATGATCAAGAAATGTTCGTTTACATAAAGAATAAGAAGACTCTGTATTAGATAAATATTCTGATGTATTTTCATTATTTGTATCATATCGTATAATATTACGTTTTTTATTATCATAAACAAGACCAACATGTACAATACCGGACCACGTATAAATACGTCGATGTAAAACTAATTCTTTTATCATTTGAATCATCATTGTTTTTTCAGGTATAAATAATGTTGCATTATCATGTTCACATTTATTTTTTGCTTCATTCCAAGTTGTTTCATGAAAATCTACTTTATAACAATAATTATTAATAAAATGATATGTTTTATCATCTCCACATGTATAATCAATTGATGTATTAATCGATATAATCGATGAAGAACCATGTTTAATTGGATGAATAATAGTTAAATTAGGTTCGATATGTTTATCAACACAAACTGGTATAGCAGATTCTGGTAAACATTCATCTGATTCAGTTAAACATTGTTCATAACTTATTACATTACCAATTAGAATTTTGTCCAAACGAAGAACAATACAATGTGAATCAATATCATCTGATGTTTCTGTACATCTTCTAATAGGATGATTTGATGTTTGACTTGTATTTATAAAATTATATGTACGATCAATCCAAAAATATTTTTTTCTATTTAACATATCTGAGGAAGAATAAAGATCATCTGATGAATATCTATAATTACTGGTTAATCTGAAGAATGAACTAGGTAAAACTTCTTGAATTTCTAAAATATCATTGATTTTTGCAATAATACCACCAATAGATTTACAATGAGATTGTGCATCGGGAAAAACATGACTCTTTTTTGAAGTATCATCATACATACATCGTTTTTTATCTTCATCTAACGTAAAACCTTAAAGAAGAATAAAATTCATTTTTTTTACTGAATAATCTTCAATTAACGGGTGCGCCATAAAGAATGACCCTCTCAATATTTTTCGATTATCTCTCCCATACTTCAACATACATACCTGAGAGTTTTCTCAAAAGATAGTCTGCCGACTTCTGTAGAGAAGCCTATAGAAAACGATCTTTCAACAAATATCTATAAAAATTATATCTGCTCAACATCACAAGGCACTATAATGAGTCACTTTCAACAACAAATTTGAACAACACTAATGATTTGACTTGCTTAGACAAAAGTGGTAAAAGATCCGGCTCTGGGACATTATTTCTGTAGTTTCAGGTGTACTCTCTCTGATGAACATCTAAACGAAATATTGGAATATGAGTATGACATTAAATTGACCAATTTTTTATGAAAAAGAGCTTGTTCCACCGATTTTTCTCGATCCACACTTTTAGCATCCCAGAAAAAAATACTTCTCTATACTTTGCTCATGTCTAAATGACGTAGAAAACATTTTTCTTCAATTGACCACTAAATCTAAACCTAAAATTATTACGTACTCTACATAAACAAAGAAAAAGTACTTCTTCGAGTCAATTTAGGGTATGTGGAAAAGAGTATTGCTTCAACGGATACAGGTTTTCAATGGCTACGGAATGGTCAATTAAGAGCTTTCCATTCCAATCAAAAAGTAATATAAGATTATCAACATGAAAATATTATGTTTTGAAAATGAATCATTTTAAAGCATTTTGTGCTCAATTGATATAATTTTTATAGATATTTGTTGAAAGATCGCTTTCTATAGTTTTTTTTGCAGAGATTTCGACGGGCTATATTATGAGAAAACTTCCAAGTATATAGGTTGAAGTATGGGAGAGATTATCGAAAAATACTGAGAAGGTCATTCTTTATGGCGCATCCGTTATTTTTTTTCTTACCTGTTGAACAATGTAGTTTCATAGTATATACTGAATAGAGTGATGCATTGTTTATAGATCCACATGTATAAAAATAATTCCCTAGACATTCACGATTACAGTAAAAATCTTGTGGTGTAAAATAATTTGATAGTTTTCTTCTTTTCGGTGGTTTATTTGTACATAAACATTTGTTTCCATTAATAAGAGCATAATTTTGATGATATTTATTACATATTTCTAAACAATGACGTGGATGTATATTATATATATGTTTAATATTGAATTGATACATAATCGATCGATTAACTGAATGTAAATATACACAACTATCATAAATGAAATCAGGATTTGATGATTCAGCTGATAAACTAACTTCATAGTATGATAAACTACGAGTAATATTGTAAACAACAATTGTGTTTTCATCACCACAATGTTCATGTTTATTTCCTAAAATTACAAATTTTAACGATTATTATCGAAAGACTGAATTTAATTTTAAAATAGAATTTTCTTGAAGTAAATCAGAAAAACAATATTTATCAAATGCAAATTTAGAAGTCTAAAGTATTAATAATGAAATACTGAGTCATGCAGAAATTTTTCTTATATATCCTATTTTAAAAGTTGATTTCAAATATGTTTTCGATAAAAGACAACTGAATTATGTTTAAATCAATTTAATAAAAGAATAATATCAATATTTATCACAAACAATAAAACATACCAAGACAAGGACGTCCACAATCTACTTTTCTATGGTTGAAATTATTTCGTGTAGTTCCATTTATCCATGTAACACCAGCATTTAAACAATAACATTTATTTATTTGAATAATAGCTAATTTTGTTTTTAAACTTTGACAAATAGATAAACATAATTTATATGTTAAATGATTTGAGATGATAGATGGTAAATCAAGTGTTAATGGTTTATGAAAACAACCAATTAGAGAGTTAGAATCAATTATTGATTTTCTTGCACATAATACATGTCTTGCTTTTGAACAATTATTGATTGATGTCTTTGTTATAATAGAATTTTCAATACTGTTGATTACTGAACGTGTAAAAACTAAACAAGATTCATTGTTGTTAGTTGAATTATCAGTATTAATCATTTGAAATTCATTTATAGAGGAACGATCGATGTTAACATTGGAATTGATTGATTGTATATTTTTATTATATTGATTTGTTAATACATCACTTGCTATATCTAAGAGAGAATTATGCTTATATATATATTGAAATGCTATTGATACTATATTCATGTATATTACATTTTATATCATATTCGTTATTTATAAGAAATCATTGTTAAAGAAAATGAGAAAAAACTGACTCTTCTTTGGACATAAAAAAGATTTCATTTTCCATTTCATGTCCGCACTATCTAATATACTGTATTTTAAAAAAACAGAATTTGGACATATGATGAATTTATTTTGTTTCTAAGTTCATCTTGTCATTACTTGATATGCTAATGAACTTGCTTGCAATCTCAAAAATTAATCGCACAGAATTTTTTCATTTTGAAGATAAAAGGTACATATATTAAATAAATGACTGTTCTTTGTAAATTGTAGAACTTTTCATGATATCTCTCGTCAAACACTTTGTTTTTTATCTTTTTTTTGATAAAGTATATCAAGTAGTGAAAAGACGAAGTAAGAAAAAAATGAATTCATCACGTGTCAAAAATTTTTTTATTTCAAAGAGTCAATAATTATCGTTTTTTTCATCATTAGAAAGACATTTTTAGAAAATCACTGTCTAAATTGCTTGATTAAGTGCATTTTCAAGTGAAATTGAAAGAGCAGTATCTCGAAAAAGAAATATCTTTTTTTGGCTAGACATTTTTGGATATTCTATGGATCACTAGACATATCTATGGGCATGTTTTCAGATCGAAATTCCATAATTTCATTTTCCCGTAAATATCCAGAATGGCAACAAAAGGCACTAAAATGGTCTGAAAATGTCTAAAAATTTCATGGTTGATAAAGTAGATGTTTTACTACAATATGACTAAAATTGAACTTCTAGAAAATTTCTCCAGTATTTTCATTTTCATGTAGGCGTGTACTCTCATTCATGCTCTTAATAGTAATGAAAATCTGAGCTCGATGGCTATCACCGTTGCTGAGTTATTCAACAAACAAACAACCGAGTCTATTCTATTTTGATCTTTTGTATATTTTATTCCTTTCCAGGCTGTATTTTTTGGTATATTTGTTTTTTAATACAGTATGTTAGATAGTGAAAATATGAAATGGAAAATGAAATCTGTGTTGACCGAGGGAGACTTGATAAATTTCGAGAGGATCTATAAAGATTATAGGTATTGTGTTTGAACAGAACTCTATTTCAATAAAATCATTCTATCTAATAAGAAATCTAAGCTAAAGAACTACTATTACTACTACTACTAAAATAATATCGATTAAATTCTTATTGAATATTTTACGTGTGTCAAGTAGGAAAAAGCCAAGACGACCTTGCCATTGTGATGAATATTGAGCGACTTCACCTCTATGTAATTTATTGATATTGTCTTTGTTTTTATCGTTTATTTTCGTCATTATATCATAAGAAACACCATAATCATCATCGTCATCATCATCGTTATCATTAATAGATTCTGCACTATCTTCATGTTCTTCACTGTCTGTAGATTGAGATACACTAATACAATTTTTTTTTGCTTCCTGTATTGTTTTACTTGTATCCGATATTCGATAACAATGCTTATTTAAATCAAGCCAATTCATTGGACAATCATAAGATATTGGATTTATAGAAGGTTTATATCTGTAATAAACTGTACTGTATCCAGATGATGAAACCAAACTTGTTGAATAGGTTATACATAATCGAGATGCTAATAGAAATGAATACCCTGAATTACTTTCTAAACGTAAACAGCCATTTTCTAATATATAAAGTGTACGATAACTATATACGTAAGATGTTCTATCGCTACCATATGAATATTGTTTTAAGCATTTCCATGCACTATCAATGATATCATTATCTTCAAAATCTATTAGAACAGTCGATTTTGTTAAGTTTAACTGATCAATAATTTTCAGAAAGACATCCCATTTTAGTTTTCCATCATAAGTATACCTTGTCGATGAAGATGGACATGAATTCCATCTTCCACTATGCGAAGACATACATTCCTTTAATTCTTTTACATAAATAAAATCAATCGGACATAAACCACTTAAATCATAAATAGCCCATATTCGTGAATCATTTTTTGAGCCACATTTAAATTTATGTTCAATGTTCGAATCACCAAATGTATTATCACAATAAAGATCACAAGTATTATTTGGTAAAATTGTTAAATTAAGTATACGATTAGAATCAATGTTTAATTCTTTCTGTATTATACATAAACATTGATTATTATCACTGTTGAAAGCTAAAAGAAAAATTTCAGTTCTTTTTGTGTTGATGTTTTTAAATATGCTGTAACTATTATTTAACAAGGTATCATAGGTCGCTAGATAATAATTAACAGTACTATTTTAAGTAAGACGCATTGGTTTTGTATTTATGGAAGCAATATTAAGTCAAATTTATTTTGGAAAAGAAATGTGGATGAGAAACAATAATATATTCTGATTGAGACAAAAATCGAAAAGATGATTTCATAGATCTCGAAACTGAACACTAATCACGATATCTATCAACATTGCTTGAAACAATGAATTTCTACAAAAAAAAAACCATTCGAAAATTTACAACACTCAAAATTTTACATATACAACGTTATCATTTATCACAGAGACCCTGAGTGGACATCTCTCAAAATATTAATTTAGCCTCTACTATATTGTATCGACAGTGTTTTATTTAGAAATATTACGAGAAGAGTTAACAAAGATTCGTGACGTTTGTATATGTTATTTTACCTATGGATTGTGTTGTCTTATTTTGATCAAGACATGCAGCTGCACATCGTTCCAATTTATTCAATGCTAATTTTTCAGATAATTCATCAATTTTAACTTGTAATATATCAAAATCAGAAGAACTATTTCGAAATTCGCATGATTTGAATTGAATTCGATAATCAAATAAATGAGCATGTTTAGTATAAAATTGATTTTCAGCATAAGCTGAATAGTATTCTGATCCACCACATGAAATATTTGTTGTAACTTTACGATAACCTGGTTTTGGACAGGATGTTGAACAATATGTGTTTCTACGTCGACTATAATCCATAAGACCACCCCATGAACATCGACATATTGAACGTTGTATATAGATTATTGGTGTATCACATAAACGGAAACATAACGTTGGTTCCATATATGAACTTTCAAAATAACTATCATAAAATGCTTGTTGATAGCAGCCAATATAATTATACAAACTATAGACAGAATGTGCTATGACAACGAAGATCAAGGTAGACAGTACTTTTGAATGAGGCATACTCAGTATAAAGAATGCAAGTTAATGAATGATAAAGAAAATTGAAAATGATTCAAAGCTAAAAAGCTAGAGGAGAAATAAGAGATGTTTGTAAACAATTATTTTTTATCAAGATATTGATAATAAGAAAAGGGAAGAAAGAAGAGCTTTTACTTCATATTATTGATATTTGATACCTAAGTCATGAGTACAGTTTTTCTTATGATATGGCATCTCTAATTTGAAATCTTTTTCTATCTTGTTTTGTTTGTTAGATAATATTGCATTGTTCTTGTGATCAATAGAAACAATTGTGTAGATGAGAATTAAAAGTTTAAAGTATATGGCCACCAGTCAAATCTTATGTAAGGATTAATTTAAAAGGTTAAAAGCATATAACTGGTTTATTTTGAATAATTGAAAAGGAAAAATTTTCGGATGGATAGTCTATCATGTAAAACGTAACTATTGTCCATTTTAAAATAGAATGCACTTGGTTGCTTGTTGAATAACTCGGCAATGTTGATAGCTATAGAACTGCGGTTTTCACCATTCGGAAGAGGCTAGACGAGGGTACCTATACAGTTGAGAATTAAAACACTTCAAGAGCTTTTTTATATACCACTGACAATTCTTTTAATTGCATGTGTTTCTAATTTCAATTTAGCCAAATTGTAACCCAACCTCGCCTCTACAAATGCTAAAATTTTCAAAAATTTTCGCCTCGGATCTCTAAACTATATAGGTAGTATAATCTATCGATTATCGTAGCGTTATTAGTTGAACGATTGAAGGTCTTTAATTACTTCAAAGCATCTCATGTATGTCTATCTCTGTCAACTCTGACTAATCGATTCAAAATAAACAATAACTTTTTAATCGTTCACATTTATTCTTTGTCATATGGATTATAACGATACGTATATGCATCAAAGAAGTTTTCACGAGTATAAATGACACAAAAGAAGCGCGCATATAAATCTCGCTCAAGAATGTCAGAGTCATCTTGATCAGTTTCAATTAATTACGGTTTAATATTATTCTCGACAATGGCATCGGTTGCTTTCAAGGTGTTTTCAACTTTGTATATGTGCTCGATGAAGCTTTTTGATAAGTCTTCGTCTACCGCAGCGATAAAATCGAGCGCACTCTCTTCGACGTCGGACAGGCGGAAATTGACATCATACGCAATTTCATTTGTCACGTATCGCTTTGGTGAAATATTTGCAAACGCAAGTTCAAGTAGCTCGGCCTTCGACATGTTAGTATCCCATGCAACACTTTTGCTAGTCCGTCATTTTTGCCGCTCATATTTTATTCAAGCACACTTTTGTGGTTTGGCATCATCACACAATACATTGAGGTGAGGGGTTGAGGGTGAGGGTTTCTGTATGAAAACTAATCAAATATAATCAAATATCCGTTGGAAATATATGCAGATTTATTTACTCTTTCTTATACTAGTATCACAACTTGTTTACTGTTTAAGAAAGTGGGGTATGGGTGTGGGTGTAGACCTACTCCTTAGTCACACCCACATCCACACAAGTACTGAATAAATGGTGGATTTGGTATACTATCGACGTTGGTTTTTTCCTACTTACAAGAAGACCAGTATATAGTTGAAATCTCAGATGAAGTGTCGAGTGCTGATAACGATGTAATAATATGTTTGATACTATTGCGAAAGCAAGTTTTTGAGGCACTGCTCTGTAGAGCAATAAAAGAGCCTGGTAGTGAGAGCACGATCAACTTTCTATCGCATGATGCGAATAGCACACAGCCTATTGCAATGAGCAGCTCTTTGTATCGAAAGAGACGAAAGCACATTTACTCTGAGCTTTATTAAAATTCATTATGACATAGTGAGCGTAGTTTTCAATCTAACCACAAGGTTTTCCGTCTGACAACTGTTACAAGCTCTCCTAGTGGGTAAATAATGCTTGTTATGATCTGCATCTTTGATATCTCTATGATTGATCGTCTTTTTTTGTAGAACTCTCGTATATTGTCGAAGAAAATAATGGTGAACCGAAGCTTAAATTGAGGTCCTTGCAACCTTCCTCTAGGCTATGGCAACCGTGGTGGAGGGAGTAGGGGACAGGGGGACGGAGCAACCATCAGTAAGTGTGTTTGGCTATCAATGGAAAAAGGCACGTCGATAGTAAGTGCTTAGATCATTTTGGAACTTTTTAGATTTTTCAAAAGCATTCCATGAATCTAAGATTTTTACTATAGATTCGAACTACTGTAGTCTAAATATTGTGGGTTGTAATACTTAATACGGCGAAAAGATTTTATTATAGATGTCAATTATTAGGGAGGTGGTATTATTGATCTAGTAGAGTCAGAATAGAATGGGCATATAAAAGTATGCACTAGCTGAATTCTGGGTTTAGACAAAATTCAACGGTATGTCTGAAAGATAATTGAGAGAGTGGTGGATTTGAAAACTTACTGAACGATTAAATCAATGCATATAGCAGGCTAATCTCGTGGTTGAACAGACGAAACGGAGAACAAAACGACATTTGCCGCTTTCTATAGTATGTATCGTATATGTTATCATTAGGAGAAAACATGTTATGCATTGAAGATGTATCTGACAATGCAAATAAAATTTTTCAATATAACGATGTTAAATGAATCAAATAAATTGTTAGAATAATAATTTGAATTGTAAACATTTTCGAAATAATAAAATATCAGAGCGTGCGTATTAACTAAAAGAATTGTTATAACTTTGATTTATTAATACATTTCGCGTTTTTTTAAATAAATTATTTTAACGCCTTTGGCAATATACCATAAATTTATTACAGTCAGAATTTGTGAGTTCTACACATTGGTTCCTTATGGGACTGCACTGACAAATTTGTTTTTCTATTCTTTGTGACATTCGTCTTTCTTGGTATTAATCTTTCTACTTATCCATGCCTGATGAATTTTCCTTTTCCTTCGTTTCTTTATATGACCTTTTATTTGCTTCTTTTGTCATGATAAATACTTTTGCATTCTTGTTTCTCTTCAATAAAATTTGCATATCGACTTTGTTTTTGTGAAAAGGAGCGATAAAATGTACGACATGTGACGAGATGAGAACAAGTTTTGCGTTAAATATGACTACTGATGCAAAGTAATATGAAACAATATCGTGTAATATTAGGGAGAGAATACTGCTTAATAAAACTCTTGATACACCGTCATAAATGTTCTTATATGACAATTCATATCGCTCCTGATAAGACATAAAGCAATCAGCGCATATTGTTTCATTTGATTTCTAAGTCATATAAAAAGACGTCAGTATATAAGAGATGACAAAGACGCATGCTACAACTCGAAAGACAAGGTAGATAATAAGACCTCTTCATTCTATCGAAACATTACCTCTGCATATTGTGTTATCAATATTTACTTGCCTCTTGTTTACTTTCATCCATAGAAGAAACGAGTTGACCATACTCTATTTGTGAAAGTGCATGGCGACAGTGACACCATCAGTTAGCACGTCCAGTCCAACCAGTGCCATAATTTCAACACATCCGGTTGACAGTACGCTTAATGATGAGAACAAGGAAGCCATAACTCTTATCTGGTTCGATCCGAAGATTGATTCAAATTTAAATACAGAAACCACAATGCAATATTTACATGATATTAACCATTATACTATGTTTCATAAAGATCTGGAAACGTGTATTACATATATTCAATCGATTCAATACGAGAAAGTCTTCTTGATCATATCTGGGGCGTGCGCATCTCAATTCTTACCACGCGTTGTTAATCTGTATCAAGTCGATTGCATCTTCATCTTCTGCCTCAAAAAGACTAGATACGAACATCTCAAAGATAAATACCCGAAAATCGTTGATATCTACGTAGACTTAAACTCATTGTGTGACTCCATTCTAGAACAAATATCTATTTTTCAGAAACAATTAGAGACGTTTAGCTTCTTCGATCACAATCAACGGATAGCGAAAACTTTGTCTAAAGAGTCAGCCGAATTTCTCTGGTTTCAACTTTTTCGAGATGTTATTCAACATCTTCCACGCAATCAGGAAGCCAAAAAACAAATGCTCGACATGTGTCGCAACTATTATCGAGGCAATTCACGAGAAAGAAGAATGATTGACGAATTTGAACGTCATTATCAACCGAACGAAGCTATTCGATGGTACACGAAACAGTCATTCATTTATAAATTAGTCAACAAAGCACTGAAGAGTGAAGATATTGATCTACTGTATACGTTTCGATTCTTTATTGGAGATTTATCGGAAAGTCTCGATCGTGAACATCAAAAGATGATTTCATCTGAAGAACGAACATTGACTGTTTATCGTGGAGGCAAACTATGTGATAATGAACTGAACAAAATCAAAGATAATATCGGTAAACTCATCTCGATGAATGGATACTTGTCCACCAGTCGACTTCGCTCACAGGCGCTGGGATTTGCCACAAAGTTCACGAAACGCACCAATATTGTACCAGTTCTATTCGAAATTCGATTGCAACAAGTCGATGACGGCATTGTCTTCGCCGATGTAGCTAAATTCAGTGAGTTTCCTGCCGAACAGGAAGTTCTCTTCGATCTAAACACCGTATTCCGAATCGACAATATACAAAATGAAGCCGATGTGAGAATAATCAAAATGAGTGCATCAAATGAAGGACGAGCCATCACACAAAATTATATCCAAGAGATACGTTCATTAGCTGCAGACATGAGTGTCGTCGTCATGTTCGGACGTCTAATATGTAATATGGGTCAGTATGAGAAGTCTTTGAAATATTTCGTAAAGTTGATGGCTGATCCTCACGGTGAAGATCTCGCATGGATCGAGCATAATATCGGTCGAGCATTAGATTTCAAAGGAGAATGG